ATATATACTGATGCCCACACCATTTTATTATTCGGCATCCGTTGTATTGGCAGATCCTTACCCTGTGTTCCAACAACTGTCTGTCAGCATTAGTGAGAAAACTATCATTATACCACCCCAGACAAACCTACAGGTGCTCCATTGTGTCTGTCAGCATTAGTGAGAGAACTATCATTATACCACCCCAGACAAACCTACAGGTGCTCCATTGTGTTGACAGATCCCTACCCTATGTTCCAACAACTGTGTCTGTCAGCATTAGTGAAAGAACTATCATTATACCACCCCAGACAACTACAGGTGCTCCATTGTGTTGACAGATCCCTACCCTGTGTTCCAACAACTGTCTGTCAGCACTAGTGAGAGAACTATCATTATACCACCCTAGACAAACCTACACGTGCTCCACTGTGTTGGTAGATCCCTACCCTGTGTTCCAACAACTGTGTCTGTCAGCATTAGTGAGAGAACTATCATTATACCACCACAGACAAACCTACAGGTGCTCCACTGTGTTGACAGATCCCTACCCTATGTTCCAGCAACTGTGTCTGTCAGCATTAGTGAGAGAACTATCATTATACCACCACAGACAAACCTACAGGTGCTCCACTGTGTTGACAGATCCCTACCCTATGTTCCAACAACTGTGTCTGTCAGCATTAGTGACAGAACTATCATTATACCACCCCAGACAAACCTACAGGTGCTCCACTGTGTTGACAGATCCCTACCCTATGTTCCAACAACTGTGTCTGTCAGCATTAGTGAGAGAACTATCATTATACCACCCCAGACAAACCTACAGGTGCTCCACCGTGTTGGTAGATCCCTACCCTGTGTTCCAACAACTGTGTCTGTCAGCATTAGTGAGAGAACTATCATTATACCACCCTAGACAAACCTACAGGTGCTCCACTGTGTTGGTAGATCCCTACCCTGTGTTCTAACAACTGTGTCTGTCAGCATTAGTGAGAGAACTATCATTATACCACCCTAGACAAACCTACAGGTGCTCCACTGTGTTGACAGATCCCTACCCTATGTTCCAACAGCTGTGTCTGTCAGCATTAGTGAGAGAACTATCATTATATCACCCCAGACAAACCTACAGGTGCTCCACTGTGTTGACAGATCCCTACACTATGTTCCAACAACTGTGTATGTCAGCATTAGTGAGAGAACTATCATTATACCACCCTAGACAAACCTACAGGTGCTCCACTGTGTTGACAGATCCCTACCCTATGTTCCAACAACTGTGTCAGTATTAGTGAGAGAACTATTATTATACCACCCCAGACAAACCTACAGGTGCTCCATTGTGTTGACAGATCCCTACCCTGTGTTCTAACAACTGTGTTTGTCAGCATTAGTGAGAGAACTATCATTATACCACCCTAGACAAACCTACAGGTGCTCCACTGTGTTGGTAGATCCCTACCCTGTGTTCCAACAACTGTGTCTGTCAGCATTAGTGAGAGAACTATCATTATACCACCCTAGACAAACCTACAGGTGCTCCATTGTGTTGACAGATCCCTACCCTATGTTCCAACAACTGTGTCTGTCAGCATTAGTGAGAGAACTATCATTATACCACCCCAGACAAACCTACAGGTGCTCCACTGTGTTGACAGATCCCTACCCTATGTTCCAACAACTGTGTCTGTCAGCATTAGTGAGAGAACTATCATTATACCACCCTAGACAAACTTACAGGTGCTCCACTGTGTTGACAGATCCCTACCCTATGTTCCAACAACTGTGTCAGCATTAGTGAGAGAACTATCATTATACCACCCTAGACAAACCTACAGGTGCTCCACTGTGTTGACAGATCCCTACCCTATGTTCCAACAACTGTGTCTGTCAGCATTAGTGAGAGAACTATCATTATACCACCCTAGACAAACTTACAGGTGCTCCACTGTGTTGACAGATCCCTACCCTGTGTTCCAACAACTGTGTCTGTCAGCATTAGTGAGAGAACTATCATTATACCACCCCAGACAAACCTACAAGTGCTCCACTGTGTCTGTCAGCATTAGTGAGAGAACTATCAGTATACCACCCTAGACAAACCTACAGGTGCTCCATTGTGTTGACAGATCCCTACCCTATGTTCCAACAACTGTGTCTGTCAGCATTAGTGAGAGAACTATCATTATACCACCCCAGACAAACCTACAGGTGCTCCACTGTGTTGACAGATCCCTACCCTATGTTCCAACAACTGTGTCTGTCAGCATTAGTGAGAGAACTATCATTATACCACCCTAGACAAACTTACAGGTGCTCCACTGTGTTGACAGATCCCTACCCTATGTTCCAACAACTGTGTCAGCATTAGTGAGAGAACTATCATTATACCACCCTAGACAAACCTACAGGTGCTCCACTGTGTTGACAGATCCCTACCCTATGTTCCAACAACTGTGTCTGTCAGCATTAGTGAGAGAACTATCATTATACCACCCTAGACAAACTTACAGGTGCTCCACTGTGTTGACAGATCCCTACCCTGTGTTCCAACAACTGTGTCTGTCAGCATTAGTGAGAGAACTATCATTATACCACCCCAGACAAACCTACAAGTGCTCCACTGTGTCTGTCAGCATTAGTGAGAGAACTATCAGTATACCACCCCAGACAAACCTACAGGTGCTCCACTGTGTTGACAGATCCCTACCCTATGTTCCAACAACTGTGTCTGTCAGCATTAGTGAGAGAACTATCATTATACCACCCCAGACAAACCTACAGGTGCTCCATTGTGTTGACAGATCCCTACCCTGTGTTCTAACAACTGTGTCTGTCAGCATTAGTGAGAGAACTATTATTATACCACCCCAGACAAGCCTACAGGTGCTCCACTGTGTTGACAGATCCCTACCCTGTGTTCCAACAACTGTCTGTCAGCACCAGTGAGAGAACTATCATTATACCACCCCAGACAAACCTACAGGTGCTCCACTGTGTTGACAGATCCCTACCCTATGTTCCAACAACTGTGTCTGTCAGCATTAGTGAGAGAACTATCATTATACCACCCCAGACAAACCTACAAGTGCTCCACTGTGTCTGTCAGCATTAGTGAGAGAACTATCATTATACCACCCCAGACAAACCTACAGGTGCTCCATTGTGTTGACAGATCCCTACCCTGTGTTCCAAAAACTGTGTCTGTCAGCATTAGTGAGAGAACTATCATTATACCACCCCAGACAAACCTACAGGTGCTCCACTGTGTTGACAGATCCCTACCCTATGTTCCAGCAACTGTGTCTGTCAGCATTAGTGAGAGAACTATCATTATACCACCCTAGACAAACTTACAGGTGCTCCACTGTGTTGACAGATCCCTACCCTATGTTCCAACAACTGTGTCAGCATTAGTGAGAGAACTATCATTATACCACCCTAGACAAACCTACAGGTGCTCCACTGTGTTGACAGATCCCTACCCTATGTTCCAACAACTGTGTCTGTCAGCATTAGTGAGAGAACTATCATTATACCACCCTAGACAAACTTACAGGTGCTCCACTGTGTTGACAGATCCCTACCCTGTGTTCCAACAACTGTGTCTGTCAGCATTAGTGAGAGAACTATCATTATACCACCCCAGACAAACCTACAAGTGCTCCACTGTGTCTGTCAGCATTAGTGAGAGAACTATCAGTATACCACCCCAGACAAACCTACAGGTGCTCCACTGTGTTGACAGATCCCTACCCTATGTTCCAACAACTGTGTCTGTCAGCATTAGTGAGAGAACTATCATTATACCACCCCAGACAAACCTACAGGTGCTCCATTGTGTTGACAGATCCCTACCCTGTGTTCTAACAACTGTGTCTGTCAGCATTAGTGAGAGAACTATTATTATACCACCCCAGACAAGCCTACAGGTGCTCCACTGTGTTGACAGATCCCTACCCTGTGTTCCAACAACTGTCTGTCAGCACCAGTGAGAGAACTATCATTATACCACCCCAGACAAACCTACAGGTGCTCCACTGTGTTGACAGATCCCTACCCTATGTTCCAACAACTGTGTCTGTCAGCATTAGTGAGAGAACTATCATTATACCACCCCAGACAAACCTACAAGTGCTCCACTGTGTCTGTCAGCATTAGTGAGAGAACTATCATTATACCACCCCAGACAAACCTACAGGTGCTCCATTGTGTTGACAGATCCCTACCCTGTGTTCCAAAAACTGTGTCTGTCAGCATTAGTGAGAGAACTATCATTATACCACCCCAGACAAACCTACAGGTGCTCCATTGTGTTGACAGATCCCTACCCTGTGTTTCAACAACTGTGTCTGTCAGCATTAGTGACAGAACTATCATTATACCACCCTAGACAAACCTACAGGTGCTCCACCTTCTCCACAGCTCCACAGGTGCGAAACAACTTATCACACCTATCCTAAACTTATAAATGTCATGTTTTGTACCATTCATGAAATGTCCCTGTCTGTTTGTTCCAGGATGCATTTCAGCAAACATTTTCTCATCCTAAGATAAGGCTGGTATCTTCCACAATAGGCTCCTCCAGCCAAATCTCTAGACTCAGTGTAGGATGTCAGGTTTGGTCTACATCACCCAACTACATTACTAAAGCATACACACACGCAAACTATCTACATGCTAAAATAACTAAGTGCACGTAAACTGTACATTTAAATTCTGGAAGATGAAAAAAGAAAAAAACCTAATTCACATAAACTATACATTTATATTTTAAAAGACACACAGAACTAAACTGACACAATTTAGACATTTTCGGAAAGACAGGGAACAAAGCTCACATAAACTATACACTTATATTTGAAAAGACACAGGAAACAGTTATATTTGAAAACATAGTGACAAATCCTTACATAAAAACTTTAAACTTACATTTGAAAAGACACAGGGATCATATCTGACATAAACTATATGCTTATATCTCAAACTAAACAGGGAACAAAGCACAAGGAAGTTACCTCTGCCAAACAGATCTGGGTGTTCTGTTGTGGGTTGATGTCTGGCAGCGCTGGGATGTTGGGCAGGTTCTGTTCCTTCAACTCCTTGTAGGTACACGGCACACAGATACAGGAGGAGTTGACTCGGCTGTAGAACTCAGTCACCACCTTGCCTTGCTGCAGTCTGCAGGTGAAGGAATCAGATTCAGTGATGGTTGCTTGTTTGGTTGGGTGACTGGTTGAACTGCTAAATTACTGGGTACTTGGTTGGGTGACTGGCTGAACTGCTAAATTACTGGGTACTTGGTTGGGTGACTGGCTGAACTGCTAAATTACTGGGTACTTGGTTGGGTGACTGGCTGAACTGCTAAATTACTGGGTACTTGGTTGGGTGACTGGCTGAACTGTTAAATTACTGGGTACTTGGTTGGGTGACTGGCTGAACTGTTAAATTACTGGGTACTTGATTGGGTGACTGGCTGAACTGTTAAATTACTGGGTACTTGGTTGGGTGACTGGCTGAACTGCTAAATTATTGGGTACTTGGTTGGGTGACTGGCTGAACTGCTAAATTACTGGGTACTTGGTTGGGTGACTGGCTGAACTGCTAAATTACTGGGTACTTGGTTGGGTGACTGGCTGAACTGCTAAATTACTGGGTACTTGGTTGGGTGACTGGCTGAACTGCTAAATTACTGGGTACTTGGTTGGGTGACTGGCTGAACTGCTAAATTACTGGGTACTTGGTTGGGTGACTGGCTGAACTGCTAAATTACTGGGTACTTGGTTGGGTAAATGTGTATTTTCACTGGTTTATTGGCTGGTTGAATGATCAGATGTTTGATTAAATGGCCGACTGGTTGTGAATGGCTGACCGGTTTAATGAATGGCTGATTAACTGACTGGATGATTGGTTTGTTGGTTGCACTGATGACTATGAACTCTTTAATTACCACCAAGTTACCCAAACACAGCTTGTCTCTATCAGTTTCTCCAACACAACCACATTAACTGTAGATTTCAAATGCTATCTTTCAGAGATGCTAAGTAAAGTGCTACATATTTTATTTCACTAAATGTGATGTTGTCCACCTGCAAACTTTCAGTAACCTTGCTAGGATCTAATTCAAGAAGTGACTTGAGGTACTGGGCACATAAATGAACTCAATACTGCAACGATTGCATAGTATGAACTAAAAAAAAGAGTGACAAAATTAGGCATGCGAACCTGTCTTACATTGGTCCCTTCCAAACAGTCATGCGCATACCCAGGCGCCTGTCTTCACACACTCATGCATAAACTACTGTACATAAACGTTCACCATACATACATAGAGGACAACATGGAGAAATTAACAGCAAGCCCCATATGTTATTCAAATAGAACAGCATGATGATGATGATAATGATGGTAGTGATCTGATTGCTAGATCAACTGGGGGGGGCCCAGATTTGCCTTGATTGGTGGGGAAGGGGGGGTAGAGGGGGGCAGGTAAGTGTGCTTGCCACTGAGATAACATAACCCTCACTCTGCTGACACCCACTCACAATAAACAAGTGGATACACATGACAGCAGTACAGTCAACCTAGAAAACAAACACAGACCAATGACTCACTCCCTCCAGTGTTACATGTTCACACCTGGATAGCTATCACATGCAAAACTACCTACCTATCTTAGGCAGGCGCTTTTGTATGTTTCAGTTTATTACACATAAGGTATGGAGTATCTTACTGGTACAATGTATGCTTAGATATGGCCAGGCTTCATTCCTGCTTAGCGATGTGTCAGTATTTTTTTCTTCATTTTAGGGTACATGATAAGAAAAGATGGCAATATATTGGGAACATCATGGGGACAAACGGACAGAGAACCATCAGACAGGCACTGAAATGGGAAACAGATGGACCGAAGAAACAAGGACGTCAAAGCAAAAACCTGAGAGGAACACTGTTTGAGAGAGGTCAAAGGTACTGGACTGGATTCCATCCATCATACAGAGAGGACTGTACAGGATAGAGCACAATGTGAGCCTAGACTGTGAGCTGTACGTGACACGTGATAGCACAACAGGATGATAATGATGGTGATGATGATGATCAGAAAAGAAACACATCAGTATCATCATTCCCCGTGTGGGTTCCGGGGCCCCATTGTGGGGGACAAACAAGAGTAGACCCACTGCCTGCCTAACAAGCATGTTGTGAGAGTTCACTAATCAGGGGTTTTCTTTAAAGCTGGAGTGTTTCTGAGAGGCCAGGAACCTGCACATAAATCAGCCAGATCTGTCAAACAGATGTGAACATAACACTCAAGTTCTGGAGCAAGACTAAAGTCCACGAGTGGATGAACAACCAGAACTTTCCGCCAGAGCTTACAGATAGTGAACGCTAAGAAAAAGAAGATCATCATCATGTTCTGTGATGGCAGTTGTAATACAAAATCACCATAATCATCGATCAGGTCACTGTCCTTGTTTCAACGCATCCATGTAGCAAAGTCATCCTGGTACTTATCTGTTCCCATCCTGCTCCGTGTCCCCCACCCTTTCCCCCATTGTTGCCAGTTACCAAGTTCTCAAATCCATTACTAATCACATCATGTCTCAAAAATAATAACAAAAAATAAAAAATAAGAATCACAAACAATGTTCACAAAACCTGTCATAAAATTGTCAAACTCAAATATTCTATACTGTGTGAGCACAGTCCTACTAAATCAAAGATGGCTTTGTTTAGACAACAAGCAGACTCCAGGTGAGGACAACCTTCCTCCCAAACAGCTCTGCCCAGCCTCAATGAATCATCAACCGTTCCCTGTCCCAAACAGCTCTGCCCAGCCTCAATGAATCATCAACCGTTCCCTGTAATTAGCTGATTGTATCATCTCTGAAATTGGTTGTGCCCCTCAGGACAACAACTCATCATGCAAGTGTGGTGTTGGTAGAGCACTCACATGATTTCTAATAGGCATGGACTCATTGCCACATTAATTCAGTTGTTGCAGGTTAGCACGTGACACCAGGTAACAAGCTTTTGCATGATTTATACATTCACCATCCCTAAAGGAGCGGGGGATTTGGGGGGGGGGGGGGGGGGGGGGCACATGGAAAAATAACAAGCATATTGTAAAACGTCAAGGGTTTGCCACATTTGGATATGTTAGCCTAAAACTGCAGATATCACGGCCTAGCTGTAAACACAACAAAACATACTAACTCCTCTTTTTAAAAGTGACCACAGAAGAAGAAGAAGAAGAAGAAGAAGAAGAAGAAGAAGAAGGAGGAGGAAAAAGAAGAAGAAAAAGAAGAAGAAGAAGAAGGAGAAGGAGGAGGAGGAAGAAGAGGAAGAAGAAGAAGAAGAAGAAGAAGAAGAAGAAGAAGAAGAAGAAGAAGAAGAAGAAGAAGAAGAAAAAGAAGAAGAAGAAGAAGAAGGAGGAGGAGCAATAGCAGCAGCAGAAAAAAAAAGAAGAAAAAGAAGAAAAAGAAAAAGAGGAAGAAGAAGAGGAGGAAGAAGAAGAAGAGGAAAAAGAAAAAGAAGAAGAAAAAGAGGAAGAAGAAGAAGAAGAAGAGGAAGAAGAAGAAGAAGAAGAAGAAGAAGGAGGAGGAGCAGTAGCAGCAGCAGAAAAAAATAAGAAGAAAAAGAAAAAGAGGAATAAGAAAAAGAAGAAGAAGAGGAAGAAGAAGAAGAAGAAAAAGAAAAAGAAGAAGAAGAAGAGGAAAAAGAAGAAGAAGAAGAAGAAGAAATAGAAAAAAAGCTCTTCCAAACACACTTCTACAGACTCTGAAGCTGCTGTACATGCACCCTAGAATAGAGAACATGTGCTGCAGACATGCTGTGGAGAGAATCCAAGTCTGGTCAGTTAGCATTCCAGTGGAAACCAGGCTACATGGATCAGTGCAGCTGTCACAACTCAGCCCTCATTAAGGCTTCTTATCTGAAAACCACTGGTAGGGAGAACAACAAGAAAACAAAATCTCACACCAACCCTCCCAAGCTGCCTCTCACAATATGTATGGTATGTTATTTCATCATCATTATCCTTTGTGTGCCATTAGACGTCACATTTGATCCTCCACTCTGCTCTATTGCATGCTGTTTCTCAATTTTTTACATGGAGTTCAGCCCAGCATTTTTTTACTCTTGTAATGTTCTTCTTAATGATTCCCTTAACGTCCTCTTGTTCTCAGACCGCTGGTTTCCCATTTCAGTGCTTGCGTTTTTAATTCTTTGTTCATTTCTACTGAGAGTGTGCCCAATATATCACCACATTTTTGTCTTATTGTTGTTGATACACTTTTTAAAATTCATCCCATTTTATGTTCATGATTTTTCCAGACATTTATTTTCAAAGGCATCAAACTTTTCTTTCATATCTTTGGTGGTTCTTCAAATTCCGTTGACATACATTAGAACTGGAATAACATTAGAACTGAAGATTCCCAGTTTGGTCTTGAAGCTTGGAGCTTCAAATTTTGTTGAGGCTTTTAAAGACTGTTGTTGCTTTGAAATGCATATCATAATTTCTTTTGTTCCCTGTGATCCAGATGGAGTGTTGTAAATCTGGAGTGATATCTAAGCTATTCAAGTGCTACACAGCAAACTTTTGTTTTGCATTCCTCCTGAAAAGGGTGACTGGCACTGTTTAACTGTCAGGCTGTGATGTCTGTACCTTTTACAACATGCATCTTAGGGGTCAGTGGGTCTATTCTTCTATTTTCTCCCCCAAAACAGGCTGCCAGGACTCAGAGGGGGCACAGTCAACTAAGAGTTCAGTCAGTCACAGCTCTCTACTACAATCTCATAACATTTCAAACAGAGGTTCTTCTATCCTCCTTTAAAACATAATACTGGTGCTAGATAGAAAAGCCATTGAGAAAACCTAACACTAGTATATTCAGGATATTCTTTTACTGTAACCCTCAGGAGATATGAGATACAGATTTAAAACACACAGAGGGAAACAATTAGAAGCAAAGGGGAATACACTGGGGAAGACGTGAAAGGAGTTGCAGGAAACAGTAACATATAAGATAATATGGCCTCAGTTGTTTGAGGGATGGAGTTGCATGAAACAGTAACATATAAGATAATCTGGCCTCAGTTGTTTGAGGGAAGGTGTTGCATGAAACAGTAACATATAAGATAATATGGCCTCAGTTGTTTGAGGGAAGGTGTTGCAT